TTTCCCAGGAATTTTGAGAGGTGGAGCTGATATATTCTGTTCAGAAATTAAGATGCCTGGTCCAAAATATTTACTGAATCGATGATATTGAGGAAATGAGGATACTATTATTAGACAAAGTCCTGTTATCATCAGAATAATTTCATCAGGATCCAGATTAGACACAGCTTTATTTTTTTCTAGAAGAATATGGTATCCAGTGCTTTCTATTTTATTTATTTGATAGCAGACCAAGCAGTCCTGAGACAAGGTTTTGAGTTTTAAAGTACAGCTAGCACAGCAGTTACATCTGCTTCTCTCACTCCACCAATGTGTCTTAGATGTCACCTACAGAAACAACCTCCAAAGAGAGGAGTACTTAGTGCTTGGTCCCTTTCCTGAGGTTATCAATACAGGCACCAACTATACCATTTATTTTACCTCTATGGAGAGGGGTAAGCTGGACTGATTGAACTCTTAAACATCATAGAATCATAGAATGGTTTGGGTTGGAACAGAACTTCAGAGATTGTCTAGTTCCAACCCCTCTGCCATGGGTAGGGAACTTTCCACAGACCAGGGCCCTATGCAAAAACCTCCCCCAATACACACACTTTCTGCATCCCAAATCCTGGTCTAACTTTTGATTGCCACTCCTGCACAGGTAAGAGCAGCTCAAAGTTACTTTGTTCTCCCTGAGGACTTTTTATTGCTGCTGGGTCCATGAGTGCAAAGGAATGCCCTAATCATTCCTCTCTCCCAGGCGTAAACTTGTGCTAACCTAAAGTCACCGTAGCTGCTTTCTGACAGGCAAAATTCTCTGTATAGGAGTCCTCAGGGGGTAGACCCACTAGATTTAAAATACTTCTGAGAAATGTTTAAGATATATTTTGTGTATATATGAAGAGCAGAGAACTGAGATCCATTACATAAGAAGTCCAGGAAGAGTTGCTTTCCAAAGGGCCAAAACCTCACACAATGGGGTATGGTTGCAGGGAAATCCAGGGGAACCATGTCCATGAATCCTTCTGCTCAAGCTTTGGAGCAAAAAGAGAGTTCTTTTTTGATACTTCAATATCAGGATGAGGACTAATTATCCAGGATGAGGACTCTCTGTATGGACTTTGCTGGCTTTTTGATGAAAATTTATGTATAAATATCACAAGTTGGGGGGGTCTTCTCCACACACCAAAACTCTATGAGTTTAGAAATTGCATGAATTGAAACATTTTGACAAATGTATAAGAAGGACAGGAACACATCAAATATGACAGAATATTAGTCTCTGATGTGTTGTATCACTTCTTTCTCCTATTTTCTATCTGACTAAGAGACAAGACACAGCTGAATGAAGTTATCTTTTCCAAAAAACAGGAGAGATTCAGGGAGATCCTCCTAATAGGAGGAATATCATCCGTCAAGCCAATCTAAAATAACAGTGAAAATGGAAATCAACACTCCACAAGCAATTTTTCCTATGATGAGCGTGTTTATTTTCACATTTCACATTTGTTCATGCACAGTTACCTAAAGCTCTGGCACAACAACTGCAGGCAGGGCATTATCTATGATAGACTGTTGGATTTCAATGTTCATTTCTCTCATTGATTGACTAGATTTTGGCTGCAGTATCCTTCTGGACATATTTCAAGACCTGCTTGTTTTCAATGGTTTTGGCAGATGGCTGTATAAACTCCAAGTCCCATGATTATGATTCATTTCTGTGTGAATAATTTTGATTATCAAGTTTGATTATATCTCTGTGTGTTTTTACACTATTCACGTGTACACTGAGTGCATTCAGAGCCAGAGCTGTGCTTATCCAAATACCTTTTTTTGTGCTAAAGAGCAAAAAACTACAGATTAACATTTTCATTTTTTGCATATTTAATATTTTGCTTATTTTTTAATGGCTATTATATTCTTCTTCAGTTATACATCATGGTTGCTTTATTTTAGTTAAGTATTTAAATATTTCCTAATTTTTTCCCAGAAATTCTTGTTTAGCTATTGCTTCATTTTGCTTTTGTGGGTCTGGCATTTCATATAATAATGCATGATAAGTTAAGAAGTACTCATAAATTAATTCATCCTCAAAACCATGCTGCAATTAAACAATACCTGAGAAGCATAAAAGCATAAATATTTTGCTTTGGGAATGCCCGCCTAAAAAATTACATGAAAACAGCTGATGTTCCCTTCTTAGCCCTCTCAGAAAACACCGGGGTATAACTCTATCTTGCACTTGAAATGCTTGTATGCACCCACACCTTGACTTCCCACAGCAGCACTTTCTAGTTAGCTTGAAGTGCTGGGAAGGATCCACAGGGATGAGTGTTTTACCAGACCGTGGTCTAGTGAGACACAGCAAGTTTAAAGTATCCTTCATGGGCCCCTGAGTCACATCAGTTTTCCTGCTCATTCCCCTTTCTTGTAAAACTGTTCTGTGTTTTCAACATTTCCTGGTAATGAGCATTTTGGAAAAGACAGTTTTTCATCCCTTTGTCTTTGCTTCCTACTAACTGACCTCCTTCATTTCCAAGGTTTGGACTCTGATGCAATTTGCAGTCATCTTGGAAAGGGCAGAAAAAGCAGTGTTTGCACAAGAAGGGGCATCCATGCAGAAACTACCCACAGTCCCGCTGCTCCAGGAATTCAGGATGGGAATCAAGGCAGTGACTACTTTTTATGCCAGTCATGACTGAATTGGTGACCTACTGTGAGAATAAAAACCCTTTGGAGCCTTTCTGACTACTTGTATACCCCCATTCCCCTTCCTGTGGAAACAGAAATATCAGACATGCCATTACAATCAGATTCCTCTTTGGGTGATTACCTTCCTTCCCAAATGCCTGATTCATTATGGAATACTTGTTAATTTCTGTGGAGAATGATTTCATTCTATCACGCAAGCCTCAGTCCTTCTAAGTAATACTATTGCACCAGGCTAGACAGGATTGAACTGGAAAGGGCTGTTGGTCTAATCAGGCATGATAGGGAGCAAGGGAGAACACTTTTGAGCAAACAGAGGACATAATTTGAAAGCTTCTCTTTCCAGTGTCACACAGCGGGACTGATGGGCCAGTTCAAGAAGGACATGAACACTCACAGACTCTCCCATCTGAGAGATGGGGTTCAGTGGTACACACTGGAGCTGTCTGCAGGCAGACCTGCCCAGCTGCTTCGGTGGCAGTGAGGCTTGACTCTGCTTTGGTGGAGATGGAAAACAGCAAGTCAGGGCCAGCCACACATGACTTTTCTATTTTAGCTCTTCTTGGCGTTTTCTGTTCATCAGGTGTGGTGTACAACCAGCACGTTAGTCTGATGAACACGATAAAATTCTGCCAGAGCCTGTTGAGTTAATCTGTCTGTAAAACAGGAGGAGATGGCTGATGGTCTGAAATCCAGGCTGCAGCCACGGCATTCAGCTCTCGCAAGATGTGAGGTCAGGCTGCTACACGAAAGGATATATGTGAGAGGTTTTATCTGAGCAACTCAGACACAGATGTCCATGTTCCTTTCTATCCTGGTCTGTTGTAATGCAATCTTCAAATAACGCTTATAAAAGGAAAGCCATCTGCATGTAAGTTTGGGCTGACAGAAGAACTTCATGAAAAATTCAATCTGGATTGAGGAGGACAGGAACTATGCATAGGAACAACATTTTTCCCCTCAGATTTATTAGTTTATATTATAAGTTACCATGCAAGAAGCAATTTACAAGCATTGGCAAAGATTCAGTTGCTTTCTTATATATCCCCCAAAGCCCTACTTGAAAAAAAAAACAGCAAAACACAATCCTTTAATGGAGATAAGTCTTACAAAGTTTTAAGGGTGCCCTAATCTTTTAAAAGGTTGAACTTCAAAATTAAGGCTCTAAGGTAAAATAGTAAGATCTTTGTTAATTACAGAAAATCATAGGAAGAATATCCATCAGACTTTGACTTTTGTTCATGATTTCATTAGTCTTCACTCTTCTCTCACTATATTATCCAAAGCAGGCTTTCTCCATACTAGGCCTGGGGAGAATATTCCCAAAGAGGGCAAGGTTGTGTCTAGAGAGAAAACTTGCCTGTTGAAGAAAGGGAAGCATGGGGGAATTATGGGGATGTGTATGAGTTTGTGAGCATGTGGAGATGAGATTTACACCTGTGTTCAGGAGATCTTCAGCCAGAGGAATGGAGTTTTCCTAACTCCTGCTTTTCATGGATCATGACAGTTCCAATTCCCTTGGTTTGGCCCAAGTTCAAGAAAAGAAAAAAAGTAAAAAGGGTTGCAGTGCCTCAGCAACCCCTCAAAGAGATTACATGGAAGTAAGAGAGATAGGACATCTCTGTTTTTCCTGGAGAACTTTCAGCAAAGCTCAAATTTTGATGAGGCGTGAGTAGAGATGCAGCAAAAAAGGTTGGTAGCTACAAGAAAGGATTAGAAAGTAGTAAATGGAGAGGGGGAAAGCCACAAAAGAAGCAAGGTGATGAGGTTAAATCTGGGAAAATGAACTAGCTATGTGACTGGGGAAATGGGACTGAGGACATGGGAGAGGGTTGAGGGATGTCAGAGAAACAAGAGTCATACTGCATAGCGATAGGGAAAGCAGAGAGAAGTGAGACATCAGGGAGGTGAAGAAGAGAAAAAGTCCATAAATTTGGAGTTGAAAGACTGTCAAAGTGAAAAGATACGCGTTTTCAAGACAAAATCTAAGTGAATATCAGGGCCAGGAAGCAGGTGGCTTGGCTGTTTATGTGTACTTTTTTCTTCCCAAACCTACCAGTAAGCCTGTTTTTAGTTAAAACAGAAACATAAGGCTTTGGATGACTTTGCACGGCTCTGTAATACATTCATGGTGGCCTTCTCTTAAATGAGCACATCCATCACTGTCCTGCCACAATGCTAAATTTCTCTGAAACCCTCTTATGGTGGTTAATTGTTAACTTGGATCTTGCTACTGATATACTCCTATGACAAGGGTCACATTCCTAACAACAAAAGTAAAGAAAGGAAGGTAGTAAGGTGGTGTTAATGATGTAGTTGAGTTTTACTTTTGTTTTACAGCTTAGGGTTTATTCTAGCTATCAGGCCTCTTCTAGTCAAAACAAAACAAGAATTCTCCCTCTGCTCTTCAGGGGGAGTGTTAAAATTGATTATCTCAATGCATTCTAGCTGCCTGTACATAAATATCCTTTCTGACTGCTTGCTTGTGATGGAAACTGTTCGTTGTGTTTTGCAGGTACTTCTGAACCTTCAGCTTCTTCTCGTTCTCTCCTTGGCTCTGATTTCTCTTCCATTCTCTTATGAGACTTGCTTTTTCTCAAATGCAATCTTTCTCTTTCTCGTCTCTCCTTCACGCCTTCAGGTTGCTAAAAGGCAGGGAAGAAACAGCTGGGAATTAGAAGTGACTCCTACATGAATAAAAAAAAGCAAGCTCATCATTTTATTTGATTAGTAATGTATAACAAAAATATTCCAGTAACCTGCCTCAGCATAATCAGGTCTACCATGATGGGCTCAAATTCAAGGCTCAAGCCAGTCACCCCAAAACTCAGCAAGAAGCAGCAAACATGCCTTGATTATACTCTGCGTATGATAGAAGGGTCACCTGCCCAGCAGACTTGAGTATGGGAGGGAAAAACAGACAGGCTCCAAGGTCTCAGCCCAGACTCCACATTTCTGTCCTTTCACATGATCCATCTTTACGTGCCTGAAGGTTGTTCAGTATTAGCAACATAGGCCTCACTGAAAACAAGTGCTGAAGGTCATGAAGTATTCTCAAAGACATGTTTTTAAGAGAAAAGCAATATGCAGGGAAGGAGATGAATTACCTTTCCCACACTTTTCTTTCACCTGTGGGTGAATTACACCCACAGAGCTCTGAATGCAAAAAAATGCTCCATTTGGAGACACAAGTTTAAGCTCAAATTTCTTTTCAAATCTCTAACACCTCTTGCTCAGTTCTCTGAGATCCTCAAGTCCTTCACATCTCTCAAATATCAATGGCAATTGAGGAAATGACAACAACCTAGTCTGCTTGAAAGAGATTAAAATACAGCTCAGCACACGCCACTGTGGATTACAGAAGGGTACAGGAATGCATGTTTTATCTGGAACTGATGTCCTATTTAATACATTATGCTCACTATACCCATCATACAATTATTACACACTCACGGACTTTCTAGCCATAGGCATTTTTGAGAAATTAGAAATTATAAACCAGACAACCACTAGTGAGCATTGGCACATGAGGCAATGTGAATTCCAAAATGAAATAAATTGAGTAGTTCCTAAAGGGGAAAAATAAGATTAGAGAATACACTTAAAATCTTGACAATGGCATAACAGTGCTGTCATCACCATAATTCTACATATTCTTAGAAGACTGGTCATCAAGGACCATAATTGTGGAACTGATCATGTAATAATGATGCTTATTGAAAAGAGATTTTTTTTTCTCTCTTTTGGTGCACAGCAGGTCTGCAAAGAGAGATGAAAATTACTTTTCCATTCAAACTGTCAGTGTCAACAAACTGGAAAAAAAAAGATACTTCCTTCTATGGCTATCTGGTGATAATGTCAAGTGTTATTCAAGCACAGCTTTTTGAATGGGGTGACAATTTGATAGCATTCTGGTATGTAAAAGTGAGTTAGGATTTATTACCCTTCCTTCCATTGTATGATACATCAGATATTATGTATCATAATTACAAAAATGTGTTAAAGTGTCATAGACAAAATGTTGTTATTGGCTACTTCCTCAACACAAACCATACAGAAAATGGTCTTGTCTTAGGACAGAATGATGGGGAAAAGAATGAAATGGGGGGAGAATCCCCTGCTGCCAGCATGCCCTTACAGTGAAATTATGTTCAGCCACTTATAGCAATAGCTGTGCTGTAGCAGTGTGGTGACACTGCAGAAAGCAGATGAATGGAGTCCCAAGGGGTAAAAGAGAAGCCTCTCAAACACTGCAGTGTCTGGCAGTCTTACAGATAATACCATATAGGTTAAACTAGGTCAGCAGCAGTGAGAAAGTGAGCTGGGTCTCATGGCAAAAGTGAAGCAAACCTGGGTTTATATTGTCATGTTTTGTTGTCACAGCCACAGAAACCTCTGAAAATATTGCCACAGCCAGTGCAGTACCTCATTTTGAGGATAAATGTTTCTGAATAAGCCTAGATGGCAACACTTCATCAAGAATCCTCACACTATTGATATAACTTTAACCTTGTTTGTGCTGCTGTAGTAATTTGAGACGACATAATATGAGAAATTCTAGTTCAAGTTAATTTCTGCACTTTCTCCAGCAAAGTCACAGCTATTACACAAAGGATAAAGCTGGCTCACTTGTTGGTTGATTGGGCTTTTTCTTAGGTAGGGATATTAAGTTGGTTGTCACCTACCAAAGAAACTGAGCGCTTGCTTTTGAGATGCAATTGCTTTTCAAAGGACTCTGCAAACTCCTGAATGGAATTTGATCTTGTGTCCGGGCCTGAGCTGTCTGCTGAAGCTGTTCTGCTTGCCTTCCTGTGGCAGTGGCATTTGACATCTTGGTCTTCTTGAAATTCCTTGGAGCCCTTGAGATGGCCTGAAGATGAGCCTTTGGCAGAATCATGAAGTCGTGTTGCATGGAAGGAGGAAAGCTTGGCCTGAAAAACAAAAGGTCTTTGTTGAGTACTAAATATTAAAGCAAAGCACACAAAGTATATTATTTTTCTGCCACAGAGACTCTCCCAACAGTGGTGCAGAGTGAAGGACCATGTCCAGAATTCTGTGTTTTTCCTCTTATGTGCAGGAGAATCACACTGCCAAGAACTTGCTTTTCTGGAGGCAGAAGCTGCAGAATTTCCTATTATTCCTGGTTTTGAGTATCTAAGCTTTGGCACCCAAATGAGCATTTCACAGGTAAATTTGCTGGGTCCTCTTAGAGTTCACTGGCACTAAAAGGAACTGGAACTGGAACCTCAAAAACTCAGGCCTTGATCTGGATGCAGTTTCTGGGCAGGACCCTCAAAAATCAAAGACCAAGCCTTTTGTGGAAAGAGGACTCAGATACAGGATTTGACCCATGGGTGCTCCAAGCTTTATCAGATGTTTGAATTAATTTGAGTGTGACAGCAACCATTTCTAGCCCAGTTCTCTCAAATTTCAGCTTGCAGACATGAAGCTTTATTGCCCAGCTTTTAATTTTCTGCTGGTTTCTTGGGCACATTTGTTGTGAACTGATGAGGGAGCACTTTCAGGGCACTGAGGGACACATCTCTGCCAGAGAAGTGGTAGAAAACAGACTTCCTACAATTACATTTGTAGGGCTGATGTGGGGAGAGAGTAGGTAGTTGTTTAGTTTCTTTGCGATTCCGTTTTCCCAGGCCTGACATGCAGATAAAAGTTATTGATCTGCATCAGCTATGTTTAACTGAATGTCTGTAAAGGAGATTAAACTGATACAGAACTGCTGTGTCCTGCAGAGTCATGTACTGGTGGTTTTAGAAGCAGAGAGACCTGTAAATGCGATGGGTGAGAAGGACACTACAGAGAGCCAGGGGTGCCCCAAACCCTGCCAGTTGCTGATGCTTTTTCAGGATGAGTAGCTGAACACTGGTAAGATGCAGGTGATGAAAACTCAGAGACAGGAGGTACTGAAAATAACACCCCTGCAGGTGTCAGGTGAGGGCACTCCAGGTATCCAACTGCTGCATACATGTTTGAATGGGTATATGTTTTGGACATTATGAGGAATTTCTTCATACACAGGATGTCATTGGAAAGGACTGCCCACGGAGGTGGTGGAGTCACCATCGCTGGAGGTGTTTAAGGAAACACTGGATGTGGCACTTAGTGCCATGGTCTAGTTGCCATGGTGGTGTTCAATCAAAGCTTGGATTTGATGATCTCAGGGGTCTTTTCTAACCTAATTGATTCTGTGATTCTGTGATTCTATGTTTTGTGTAAGCCTGGCGCTAAGTCTTCAACTACAAATTAACTCAGAGAAGCTCTGCTGCCTTCAAGGGAGCTGTGATTGTTTCAAACGATTGAAGTTCTATTCTACAGATTCTGAAATGCTTTCTAAGAAAATCCAGTAGAAAATCCTATACTCAGAGTAGGGTTTGTTGGGGAGGAGTGTGTGTGTACTGTTTTGGTTTATTAACAAATGGAGGAAAGCTTAATCAAATTGGTATAGTTGCCACCTGAAATATGTCCTGTACACAATTTCATTTACTCTGGCCCAGATGCTATTATATATATAAATATATATATAATATATATATTGTATAAACACAACAGGGACCTATGCAGCCTTTCTCTAAATAGTGAGTCTCTGCCTTCATGTGGTTGTGGTTATATCACATTAGACAGGCTTGATGAGAGATGCTAAAAATAATAAATCTCACACCTGAGAGAAGTACATAATAGTGAAGAGTTTTCCAAATGTATGGTACTAGTTCAATTTTTTTTTGCCAGACATAAGCTTACTATGTCCAGTATTATGGACTGCCTCTGAGAGTAGTGTTAATGATTTCTGCCACACTATTTTTACTTTGGTTTCAAACCAATCGATACAGCTGTAAGTTCTGTAAGGTCATATTGTATTGTTACTTTAAAAAGCATGAAAGCAATCACATTGTGCTTGAGGGATAGGAGCACACATGCCATGCCAAACTCAACAAGCTAAATGTCTTCTGTGTCATCAACATGTATTGTTTCCTGGAAATAAAAATTGTCTCACAATAAAAATCACTGATTGTTCTTAGAGGGTTTTGGGTGAAAAAAACCCACAGGAGGACAGCTGAAATGGGGGATTGTATTCTATCAATCCTGTTTTGCAATGTTAGTAAATGTTTTCTTTTACTAGGACATTGCTTTTTAATTTCCCTTCACAGAGGGAATTATAATTAAGCCCCTAAAGAAAGACTACAGTTTACCTATTGACATGGCAGCAATGGTCCAGAAAAGGGACAGGCTTTCCTCTGAAATGCCCATCTGCCTCAGTGGACTAAGGGTAAATACCTGTGCAACCATATTACTATGACTGTGCCTTCTCTCACAGTGCCTTTTCATGACACATTCCACCATACCTAGGACAGCGTGCTAAGACATGTCAGCATATTGCTGACTTATGGACACAACCCTACAGAAGACAAGAGCCTCACCATAACTCCTCAAGCATGAACATTTCATGGCTTATATCTAACTCAGGACATTAGTCTTCTTTTATTTAATACTGACTCCATGAAAAACGGAGAGTCATAAAATGAAGTTCAGCGATGGAGCAGATCTGGCACTCACCGTAGACAAAATCCAAGTGTCTTTCTTTCTATTTCATAGATTTAATACACACATTAATACATTGTTTAATGCCAAATTGATTGCTTGGTAACACTGTAAATAAGAATGGATGAAGACTTCTTTAACCTATGCTTTCCCCTCCTGAAGTCTCAGCAGCTGCTGCCAACAGAGATTGCCTCTATATCTGCACTCCTGGGTGTGCACCCACTGCTGCAGTCGTCCCTTGACAAAGTTCTCTGAGCACAGTCCCAGCATCAGCTCCTGTCCTTGGCCCAGCAGCTGCCTCACGCCTACATCTAGTACCTCTTTAGTGAACTCACCTTGGTCTCTGCCTCTCAGGATCTGACCTCAGGTAGTTCTTAAACTGGAGAAGTGGAGAGGAAGTGAAATAAGGGAAAAGACACGAAAAGGAAGAATGTTAAATGCTCCAGGTATCAAAATGGGGATTTTTTGCCAGCTCTGGGAAATCCAGAAGCACCAAAGGATCTCAATGATTGTTTCTCACTCCCTTTAGTACTCTTTTTTTCTGCCTTTGGGTAAAGGCCAGTCGTGCTCAGCTTATCTATTCACAAAACAGCTAATCTGCTAATTGCCCATCTAAAACATACAAAAAGTAGACAAACAAAAATACTTCAAGAAATTGGTGTCAATACAATTTGCCTAATCTCTTTCTCAATTTCTGTTGTAGACAAGCTGATTGCTTGCATCTTTTGAGCTTGATCTGAGTGCTTGCACAGCTGTCAGTAAGAAAATTAGTCTTCAGTGTGTCAGCACGAGTGTTCTGTTTGCTGAAGTTTAACCAATGACTCCAGTATTTTATGGATATTTTGGAATATTGGACATTTGGCTGCTGCCCCATGGCTTCCTTTCCTTCTGAAAAGCTTATAAATAAGCATATGTTCCTTAAAAAAATGTTTCGGTCTGGGATCCAACTGATCTCTAGTAACAATATTGCGGTAAATGTTCAGTCTGACTTTAGTATAAATTAAATGTTAGTAACTTCAAGAGCAGTCAGTCATTCTACTCCCACTCTCAGCTGGTCTTATCAGATTTTCTCCTGTGAGCAGCAAAACCTATCTGAAGGCTGATACATGTATAGGTTGTAGAACTCTTATCAGTGCCCCTTTGCCCCCTATCTTTTCCCCACAACAAAATGTCTAGGAGGTAAGAACTGCCCTGAACCAAAATGGTGCAGGATAACTAGAATGTATCAAGGAAAATCATAGCTGGAGGCTTCAAAAAGAGTATAACAGTTAATTTGCCTAAAGTTTGCCAGGGGAACAAGCTAAATAGAGGAGATGGAAACAGGTGGCAGTTCTCCCCAGGCAGTTTTCACATTCACTGTTGGCCCACAGCATCATATACAACTCTGATGCTTTTCAGGAGAGTTGCATGTTTTAGCCTGACTTGCCCGTGACCCAGGGAAGGATGAATATAATTTTATGTTTCCCTCTGCAAAATGTGAATGACAACAGCAAAGGCATTTTGTGAAGCTCATCTCAGTAATGTTTGTGAGGTACACCAAGATGTTGGGAAAAAAACAATGAAAACTGTTGTTAGTTTGTGAGTTATTCTACGAAGCTTTATGCTTATTTTTGGAGGGGGCTGTACCATGATAGGATGCCACAGAAGTTTATCATTGTGTTTGAGGTGAGAGCAGTGGCTTGAATGTCTTACTACTGCACAGGAAATACCACAAAGACCAACACACCAATTTGGAGCTGAAAGTGATTTCCAGCGTTATGTAAAACCACCTTTTGTGCTACAACATGAGCATTTTGCTATGTAATACCCAAACACTCCTGGTGCAGCTGCAGTCCCTGTGGGCAGGGCTGCACTATTGCTGATGCACTGCATATCAGCCTTGGATACAAGAAAAAGTGAGCTGGCAGTGCTGTTTTGGCAGTACCATTGTATCTGCACAAGGAACTTTTGTCGACAGCTGTGTCAGAACCTGCTGACTCGATTTTCACCTGGACAGTGGAGTTACTTCAAAATAAGATGTTGAGACAGACAAAAGGGTACACTGTCATCTGTTGTGAAGGTATTAATTTACAGAAGAAATGCTGTCTAATCTCAGTTATTATTCCTCTTGACTAATTGCACAGTTCTGATAAAATGAAGACAATATTTAAATAACAGTACAAGTGTTTTGAATCTTACAGTAGTTAACATTTGTAATAATGAATCTTACAGTCATTATAATTTGTAGGAACTGTAAAAAACACATGGCCAGGTGCAATAGCAAGTTGTTGCTCTCAATCACCTGATGCTCTTTCTGAAGGTATTTCTCAGGCATCATTAGTGATTTAATTTCTAGCTTTGGTTAAAGGCAACATGTTTTAGTGCTATTTACCACCAAATCAAAAGTTTCATCTTGGACTTTATCCCCAAATCATAAAATCACCAAACAAATCTTCCCTTCTCATTCCTCTAGTCAACTTCTGGCTCTGAGAAATAAAGCAGTTAAAATTTATATCTTATACATAAAACTAGGAGAGCAAGACAAATTTGTGTGAAGCATTAATGAAAAAGCCAGACATATACGTGTACATGATAATTTTACCTTGTTGAACAGCAATGTCAAAAAATCACAGTCTTTCTGTCAGCTAACTTAATCCAAATTCAAGGTATGGATTTAGGGATGCAACTACAGCAAAGTATTTGAATAGCTATTAGTTAAATATTTAAATAGCTTTTGAACAAACAATATAGGAACATGCTTCAAATTAAATGTCAGTGCACACACTAATACAGACACAATGTACAAGAATATACAATGAGATGTGTTCAGCACGGTGCTGAATGGAAAGTGATTTAAAGTTCATTCTTACACTTCAGTCTGTACTGAGGTGTATAGAAATCATATATGCATAGATCTCTGAAGGAAAAAAATAATATACAGTAAAATTAATTAACCGCCCCCAACACCAACAGATATTATGTTTCCAGCATTCTGATGGAATACACCAGCAAAGCTCTAGTTCAGAGTCTGTCTTGCAGTCTGTGGCAAAGGTGAAATATAACAGTAAATAACAAATGTGGCTCATCAGACCAGACATTAAGACTGAAGGTTACCTCTGCAGCATGTCCATGAATTTAAAGAGGGAGAAGGTGGTTTTGGACTCTTTTAGTTTCTTAGCCAATTTTTTTGAACATGAAAAATACCATAGCTTAAAACATGGCAGTTCCAGTGGAGAACTTGCAAGGTGAAAACATAACATGGCATAGAAAAAAAAGTTTGGAAAAGATTAGCTGTTTCTCCTCCATATATTAGCATTTGCTTTGTTGCAGCCAAAATGATCTAAGGATATAAGTATAAAATGGCTTTAAGGAAACACAGTATCTTTGTTTAGCCAACTGATGTAGTTGGGAAAAAACAGACAGGTTTGGACCACCTAAATATTCTTCTAAGAGCTGAAATAAAAGCAACAGTCTTTGAGCAAAAAGAAGAATGTGAAAACTGTTTTCAGTTTAACTTAATTTTCAACACCAGACAGTTGTGAGCTGCCTTAAAAACCTACTTCTGCACATGAATCTTGCCCCCTTCCAAACTATTTTGTTAGTTTAAGAACCAAGACTATACTTCTACCTTAAAATCTTACTTCACAGTTTAATAAGCTTTGTTATGTATTGTATCCTTGTTTTCAGAGTCAGATTTTTAAATCAGAAGAGACCAGATTTTTAAATTAGAAGTTGCACCTGCAAACAGCTAAATCCCAGAGAGTAAAACTCCCTGGAGATAGTACAGTTGCAGAATTAGGTCCAAATCTTATTAATACATATGGAGTTACATAGTTTTACATATGAGAACAGACTTGTTAAAGACAGTCTTTATGCATGCCAGTCGCAAAATGTTTTGATCTCTGCCAGGTCATGCTGAGCAGACAGAAAAACACTGTAATGCATAGTTAGGCAGCTATTACATGCTTCTCCTCGTGTTTCTGGTCCTGTCATCATTTATCTTGGAATTTGCCAGTTTTTCTGTATTCGAAGACACCAGAGGCCTGACCCTGGTTGGCAGCTAAATCCAAAAAGCAACTAGCTGCTGCCAGCAGGAACTGAACTTACTTGGTAAGGTGTACCATATGTATCCTGATGCATTTCTAGGGCCATGCTCCTGGGGATGGAACTTATATTTATGCATAAACCACATGCACACACAGAGAAAACTGCACACAGCTCTTACCGGTAGGGATGCTCTCCTCTCATTACAGAATCGTGTCTGACGTTTCTTGTGGCCTCTACCCTCTTTCTCATTCTCATCGATCAAGTTGTGGCCCCAGAAGCTGCTCATCCATTTTGCAAAGAAAATATCATCATCCTCATCATATTCCATGTAAAGATGTTCCAAACTTGGGGGGTGTCTCCCAACCAGACAAGGAAAAGCAAGGTCAAATTCCACCACCAAGCCAGCAATTTCACACTGTTCTGCCAAGAAGAGGAAGCAGAGATGCAGTTTCACCCACTCTTTCTGCACAAACCCATCCCACTGCAGCCCTGGGCACCGTCTAAACATAAAGTCAATCCTTTCTCATTTCTTTTCAACGAGGTTTCTTTTAACCTTTCCATTGCAGCGCTGTCCAATATGACACTGCCGCAGGGGGCTGGTGGGGGGAGTGTTGGCTACTCTGTGCTCTGTGTGTGTGGCTGTTGAGTGCACCAGCTGTCAATACCAATGGAGAATTGCCCACAGTTACATGCCTGGGAGGTGCGTACACAAACCCAAAGTAAGCCTGTGATTTTGAGAAGCAGAATCGACATATTGATGTTGGTCAGGAACTGGCACGGCTGCTTGCAGAGACATAACTGGCTCTGTGGGAGGGAGCACAAATGGCCAACTCTTCCCAGGTTTCTCTCTATCCTGACTTCTGTTACCTCTGCTCTTCCTTCAGTATTTAGGAAATGTGGTCTGTCTAGGAAGAACCAAGCCCCCCTTGAAGGAACCATTTGTTCATTTTTAGGTTATGAGAGACAGTGGAAGCTTGTGTCAGCTGCTTTTCACCAGAAGAATTTCATCTGCCATACAGGGTTATGGGAGGCACTGCCTCCCTTGAATGCATACAGGGTAAAAATATGTCTGATTCCTCCTCAGCAGCCCTGGGTGTAACCCACATAGGCCATGTCTAGACCACAAACAGAATAGGGCCAGAGACTGTTTTCTGGCCCTGAGACTCAGTTGCTACACTGATCACATGTACCCTACATGGCGCTTGTGCTGTGCATCTCCTTGAGGCTGTACGTACTGCACTGTGGTTGTAATATTTTGTTGTAATTTTTGTGTATTCTTTATTTTAAATTATCTGATATAACACAAAAACTCTCTTGTGGCCCGTAAAACTGTTGATTGTATGGTATGAAACTGGAAGATGTGTTACATGCCTGGGGACATGGCAGAAGGACAAGGAGGAGGGCTCTAAGGCTGTAGAGCCTGTTGGAGTAGTGTTGGAAGACTGCATAAGAGGAAGAACCCAAATCTAACTTCTTGCTGGAAGCAGTCCTTGGTGTGTTCTAGGTGTTCTCCCGGTGCCTAGGCATTGCTGTGGAGATGGCCTTGGCCAGAAGTATGCTAAAAAGCTGGCCGGTAATTTAGCATTACAGAGGATCAGGGGTCCAGCATTAAACCTTGCCTATTCCACAATCTACTTAGAAATACAGATGTAGTAACAGAAGTCCAGTTTCATTCATGTGGGTGTAGGTAGGAGGTTTAACTACAATGTAGGACTCTTCATTCTAAACAGTATGGGTAAAGGGACCAATTGGTCATGGATGCCTATGTGCCCGTTTTACTTTGTCCGAGGCAGGCAAGACTGTGTAGCACAGGGACCTGGAGTACACGGGTCTCCATGTATGGGACATAGCATTGGCTCAGGTGTGATGTATCAGAGCTTGGACACAATCGAACCTGCAGCAGGCTGCTTTCTTGGCAGAGGCACAGGTGAATAGGAGCAAGGGGAATACCTGCAAAGCAGTACAATAAAAATATACCTGAAGCAATAAAAAGGATGTGTAGGCTGATTCTTCAGGTGGTGGAGAACACTCCTGGCCATATTCTGACAGCCTGAATTTGACTCACATCCTTGAGGCCGCTCATGTGTTCAGGCAAGATATATCTGAAGGCCTACAGCAGCTTATAGGAAGCATCATGTGGGTGGAATTGAGGCTGTCCCAGTAGGAAGTTATCAACCTGTTGGATACTTGTTTTCTGCTTTGTGGTTTGAGTTTCTTCTTTTCTGACATGCAAGACAGAACTGCAGGCTGTTGTGTGGAACAGGAAATGCTCCTGCCATGCTGAGACAGGTGACAGGGAGAAGTGGGAGAGAGGTTGTCCTACAGCTTTGTCGAAATATCTTTATGTAAATAGTAATAATCCATAAATTAGAGGATACATCTCAAGCTGTTTACTACCGGGCACTACTGACTCAGAGTGCAGCAGGGCAAATTTTAGTTGGGGTTCTGAAGTATTTGCTTTGCAATCTTCCTGTTGTTTATATTTTCAGTCCTTTTTTTGTTCACTGCAATATGATTCTTCACACATATTCCTTCCATTTCCCTGCCACCTACAATGAAATTTCTAGCCATGAGATGACTAGAGCTTTCTGAGTATAAAAACGTAGCAAAGACAACTCCTCTTCATCCTCAGCCAAATGGTCCATGGAAATAAGTGGAGACAGAAACATAATCTTCCTCTGCCTACAGGTAAGGATGCTAAGTGGGCATACACGCACACATATACAACAAGTACAAAATTCCAGTACTGCATATTAAATTATTTTTAGGACAGACTCAATTAATGACTTAAAGATGTCATTTATAATAAGAATTGCTTCAAAATTCTCCAGTACAAAGTCCTAGAAACTTTAAATCAGTCATATTAGCTGAAACTACACAGAATCACAGAAGAACAGAATTACAGACAGGGTCAGGTCAGAAGGGACTACTGTGAATCATCTGGTCCAACCTCCCTGCTCAAGCAGGGTCATCCCAGAGCACGGGGCACAGGATTCTGTCTAGATGGTTCTTGAGTATCTCCAGTGATGGAGACTCCACAACCTCTCTGGGCAATCTGTTCTGGTCATCTGCACATTTCCTCATGTTCAGAAGGAATTTCCTGTGCATCAGTTTCTGCTCTTGTCTCTTGTCCTATCGCTTGGCACCACCAAGAAGAGCCTGGTTCCATCCTCTTGGAAGCCCACTTTTAGATATTTACACAGTTTAATGAGGTCCCCTCTCAGCCGTCTCTTCTCGAGGCTGAACAGATCCAGCTCCCTCAGCCTTTCCTCGTAAGAAATGTGCTCCAGCCCCTTAATCACCCTCGCTACCCTCCACTGGATCTTCTCCAGGAGCTCCACGTGTCTCTCGTCCTGAGGAGCCCAGAGCCGGACAGAGCACTCCAGATGTGGAATGCACTCCGCATGTGAGCGGCCCAGAACTCCTTCCGCACAGCATCAGTCCGGACCCGAGGCCCCTCCAGCGTTTTTTGGGCTGACACTCCCCCCCGCTCCCGCCGCGCCCCCGCGGCCCGCGGCCTTCCCCGGGGTCCCCCTCCGGGGCTGCGCTGCCCCGCCGGGCCGGCAGGGGCGGTGCGGGCGGGCGGCGGGCGCGGCTCAGCCCCGCGCTCCCGGCGCGCCCCGCGTGTCCGCTGACCCTCCTCCCGCTGCTCCGCCCGGGCGTCATGGCCGCCTCGAAGCCCGTGGAGCCGGCGGGCGGCGGCGGCCCCGCGGGGCTGTCCCGCTGGCAGCTGGCGCTGGTGCTGGGCGCGCCCATCCTGCTGGGCGCCGGAGCCATCTACCTGTGGGGGCGGCGGGCGGCGCGGCGCGGGAAGGGCGCGAGCGAGAGGAAGACCCCCGAGGGGCGGGCGAGCCCCGGGCCCGGCGGCGATGCAGGCTCCGGGCAGCCCGACGGGCCCGGGCACGAGGAGATGGTGAGCGGGGGGCGGCGCCGCCGGGGGTGGCGGCAGGGACCGGGCTCGCCCGGCCGGGCGCGGGGGGCCGGGGCCGGGGCTGGGGCCGAGGTCCCGCGCGGGGCAGCGAAAGGGTGCCCGGCTGCGATCTGCGGGAGGGTGGGCCGGGCGGGCCGCTGGAATGGTCCGGGAAGCGGCTCTCGGAGTGCCGGTCCCGGAGGGAGGCGTGTGAGGGGATGAGTCTCGGGTGGCATCGTGGTCGTGCTCTGCGTGACACTCCCGGCAGGTCACAGAATCACAGAATGGATCGGGTTGGAAAGGACCACAGTGAGTCGTCTGGTCCAAATTCCCTGCTCAAGCAGGGTCGTGCTAGAGCACATGGCGCAGGATTGTGTCCGGGCGGTTGTTCTCCACGGAAGGAGACTCCACGCCCTCTCTGGGCAACCTGTTCCAGCACCACGGTCACCCGCACAGTAAAGAAGTTCTTCCTCGTGTTCAGGAGGAACTTCCTGTGCATCAGTTTCTGCCGGTTGCCTCTTGTCTTACTGCTCTGCACCACCGAGCAGAGCCTGGCTCTGTCCTCTTTACACCCTCCTTTTAGATATTTATATACATTAATGAGGTCCCCTCTCAGCTGTCTCGATGCTGAACAGACTCAGCTCCTTCACCCTTTCCTTGTAAGAGAGATGTTCCAGTTCCCTCACCCACTGGACCCCTCCAGGGGCTCCGTGTCTCTCTATGGTTGCCCGGTGTGACCCATAGTTCCTGGTCACAGTTCTGCCCTCACCTCGCAGCAGTCGACATTAGCTTGTTTCCTGTGTGTTCCAGTCGTGGTGGGACTGGTGCACGGGAAAGTGCATTGCTGAACGTGAATCTGACAATGTGCTGCTGAGGGGGAAATGTACCTCTTCTTCTGAGGTGTAGAATAGCTGTCAGTAAGTTGTGTCTGGGAATAGTGTTTTGGAAAGGAAATCTGTGATCTGTTGCCTGTTAGATGCTGGATACAGCAGGGGGGAAAGAAAACAGAATCAAGATCATTTTGAAACGAAACATGTTCCACAAAGATACAAAAGCCCTACAGTTTAAGTAACAGACTTTAGGAAGAGTTTGCCTAAGTAGACATGCTCTCAAAACATATATTTACCCTGTTGTAATTTACTATTCTGAGAATTTTCAGATATATTGGTCTATACAAAAACTGAAGGACAAGAGGCAATATTGGAATCCACATCAAATTCAAATTCTCTTGCATATCTGTATGTAGAAAAATGCCTCTAAGGTGCGCTTTTTGCACATCTGCTGTCATAGAAGTACATTACCAGTCATGCTGCATTACTGAGGTGAGGTGCAGTTTACAAACATGTTTAAAATGATGGATTTGACAAACGGATTAGCTTTGATAGGAAAATCCTGTCTGGCATTTTCTTTTCCCATTCTTGTGCACCACTCAAAACGCTTTGAATTGTCAGACGACAGTTTAAATTCCCCGTCTGAAATGATCAGGAGGGAAAAAAATCAGCTTCCAAGACTGGAAAAAGTTGGTTTTAGCTCTGATCGTTTAGTGATGAAGATCAGTGTGTGGGCAGGCAGTGGCAGGAACACATGGGAGTGGTGAGGAAGGTGGTAACTTCCCTAAATGGTGAATCATGGCTACCCTAGGGCATTCCTGGAAGCATAGTGAGCTATAAAACCTATGCTGGACCTTGAGGCAGTTTCTTGAATGCAGTGATTTGTTCCTTCACGGGCACCACACAGTACTGAGCAAGTCGTGTACAGAGGACAAATTCAGACTTTGTTTACCATGGTAATTTTGGCTTGTGGCTGCAAGCAGCATCTGGCACATTTATGGAAGTGTGGTTGCTGGGTGTGAGCTCTGGTTTGCAGCCTGCCTGTGACCTTTGTATAGCTGCAGTGTCTTCCCAGTTAGTGTGTTCGCTCTGGGTTTCTTGACTGTGTTTCTGAATTCCAGAATATAAAATCCAGTGGTTTGTAGTCATTCTGGAGTTGTACTTGAAGCAATCTCTTAAAACATTTAAAACACTTATATAGCGTTTGATTTAAAATATTGTTTGTCTAGGTATATCAGATTGCTCCACAAATTAAAATACTGGAAGACTATGCATCTAAGTTGAGTGACATGACCCAGAGTTCTTTGAAGAGTGTAATTACACTGTAAAAAAATAAGTGATACTACTTAGAAAAACTGTAGAAGAAGTTACCAGATTTGACTGATGACATGAGATAATTGTCTAGCTGGTCAAAGTATGGCCACAGCAGGAAAATTAATGTGACTGCAAGTTTTCTTGACTGCTTTGTGTGTGGAGGATTCTCTTCCTGTTGTTCATATCCAAAGTGATGATGCCACGTAGGTTTCGTGTTTCCCCTCGTATTTTATTAGTTATGGATATTATTGATAAGACCCCTGATTGAAAATATAACGATGCAGATGCTTTAGTTGTAAAACTACCTGCACTGTATTAGTCTGCCTTTCTAATGTGGTGGGGTATTTTTTTAAACTCAGTCTGATTTCACATACAAATCTGCACAGTGAATAAGAGCCAGTACTTCATTCAGTTGAAACACAAGAGGGGAGTCTTTCAGAAAGGTCAGTAATGAATTTGCTACCAACAGCTGTGTCAGCTAATTATTCTTTTACTCATAAATGTAACTAAGGGCTCATACTTTTTTGTGCATTTCATTAAATCAGCCCTTGTATCCATGTGGTGCTTTGTTCACTGTTTCTGAAGACACGACCTTGGATTTTTTTCTTTGTTCTTTGAAAGTACGCAGGCTCTAAGATCTTCCTTGTTCTTTATTCAGACTTGTTACTATTTTGCATGCAGTTCAAGCTTTCCTTTTACCTGCTGCACAGGCCTCACATTTTTTTCCCAGGCTGTGTCTGCACTAGAGGCTTCTCCCTGGCATTGATGCACTGGTCAAGTGTGTGATCTGTGACTGACATTGTGTTGGCAGGAGCCCTTAGCATAGGTGCTATATTGGGAAAAGCTGAACTACTTTTGAGATTCCTTCTCCTGTAAGCACAGCTCCTCAACAGCACAGTAAACTGGTATTATGGGACCAGTTAAGTGACGATGATAAAACTGCATCTGTGGATGACTCAAAAGTTGTGTAGTCAAATTGCATCTGTTAATTACAGAAGTTTTCGTTGTTTCTTGTAATTTTGATGGAATGTGTTATAGTTACTCAGTAACAGCAGTTGCTTTTTATGTGCTCTCCTAGTTTGTAGTGAATATTGTATAACTTAAACATGTTGGAGCCCTTCGCATTTATTGCTTTTGTTGATGCCCAGTTGATTCATGTTTTTTTTACTTATTCCATGATACCTTCTTAGCAAGTTTTATACTATCCTTGTCTGACAGGAGTGAGCACTGGTTAGTCAGTGAGGTAACGTGTTGGTTGCTTCAGTATTTTTTTTCTCTTTAAGTTGAAATCACTTCATTTTGCAACTCTGTGGTAGTCCAAATCTCACCCCTTAACTCTTTCAGCAAGTTCATGGGGTAACCCTGTGGTTTTGGTATGTGAGGAGGTCAGCCAGTGGCTTTGTGTACTGCAAAGAAAGCCGTTTGGGTCCACAGCAGTTCACTGTCTGCACATTTTCCTGTGAGCTGGATACAGTCCTTGAGTGCCCTGGTGAGTGAATGTGACCAAACTCCTTGTCTTTTGTGGTGCCACATATTGGGATCAGCAGCCATCTAGTGTGGCTTCTTTCCAGTGTCTGTTTTAATGGCAACTGCTGAGTGTTGCCCCTCTCACTGCTGTGTGGTTCGATCAGGGGATGATCAAATGAAGTCCCTTTGTCTAGATATATTCATCTTGGTACTTACTCTGAATTGATCTAAGCAAAGTATGTAAAAAGTAATTTCTATTGTACTCTGCACCTGTTGCCTAATAAATATCTCTATCGACCTACTCTAAATCTTCTGTTTCATGCCAGCTGTAGTGGACAGGTGTAGAAAACCCTTAAATGTGTGTATAACAGCAGAAGAACAATTGTTAGACTCTTGTCATCTGTGCAGTTTGCTTATTCGTGGTAGGCGTGAATGGCAAATTCATTTAACAGGATGGTGACTGAGAACATTGTCAAATTGTACTGTAAACTTCAGCTTTGTTATTTCTAATTATAATAAATACATCCTTGCTTGCACTCTGAATTCACATCTTGGGCTCATATAAACATACTTTTCCTCATAGTGATTTTAGTGCTAAGGAGACTCTTGAAGCAATTTATACTCAGTTAATGCCTTTCAGTATAGGTTTGAAATAAGACTTGAAATGAACCTTAGTCCAGAAAAAAAATACGGGGAAAAATAGGTATTCAGAAAAGAACACTTTTTTTTTTTTTTGGTACATCATCAAGAGGGTCCTCTCACTTGGAGAGAAAAAAAGAGATCTAGACCAGGGCTTTATTTTTTTGTGAGTTGAATTAAGATGGCTGAAACAGTAGTACCCCTTCATGTCATCTGTCAGACAAGGGCTCGTGCAAATCCTTTTAAGCCAAAAGAAAATGCTGAAACTCTCTGCTCGTGCTTCTGTTGTGAATCACTGTCATGGTTGGCTGGCAGGAAATTTCTTGTTCTGCTTTGAATAACAGTCTCCCTCAAATATATGAAGTTCTGAACTGCTAGTTTAGCAATATTGCCATTGCTGGGGGTAACTAAGCGTTGTTATTCTTGCTGCTGGCAGACTGTTGCTGTAAAGTTGCTATTTGCATGGGGTTTCTGAACATTTTGTGAGGAAAGCATGTTTGCTGAGGTTAAAGTAGCTACTAAGAAATTTTTGTCAGTGCTGTCTAGTCTTTAGACAGGTAGCAATCTGCTTGTTTAGTTACCTGGATAACTGACAACTCAATCACACAAGTGTCCTTTGGCTTAAACTCTGTTAAGGCTTGTTAATGAACAGTTGCTGAAAGCAGTTCGAAGTACTGAGATGTTATTTTTTGGGTAACTGCAAATAACTTTTGAGTTATTTGTTTTTAACTTACTGTGAACTTACATTCATTTTATTGAGCTGGTTTGGTAGTTGCACAGATTCTTAGACCAGAAGATGACAAACAGGAGAGTTTTTCTTGCTCTATATAGACCTTCACCTTGGGGATAAAAAGTGTCCAGTGCACCACATAGGATGGCAATGGGTCAGGTAAGGAGAAGCAGTGAAATTGGAAAATAATGTCTAGAATCAGTACTTTGGCAAGGAAGTGGAAGAAGTGAGGTTTTTCCATTACTTGTGCATGAGATACGTGAGGTTTGCTTGTATAATCAGTTTCTTATGTACGTATCTTGTGTACATCCTGGTAGTAATTGAGAAGGACTGGAGGGATAAGAAAAATATTAAAAAATTTGCTTACAAGTCTTGTCAGGGTTAAATTTAAGACTTCACAAACTTTCAGAAACCAGTCTTATGTTAAGAATTAATTTCCGTATTCTTATTTGTGCTGTCACAAAACGGTTTTGCAGCATATAATGAGATGTGAGTGTTATATCTTTTAAAATAAACAGCCACCAAAAAACCTCTAAACAGAAAAAAAAAAAAAAAAAACAAAAAAACACACCAAAAAAACCCCCACCCCAACCAAACAAAACCAAACCCCAAACCCAACAAAAACACACATTAGATTCGGTGATTCGGTGACATGCATACCGAGGGCTGCAGCAGAGTAGTTTGACTAAGGTTGCAGACATAAAACTTCTGAGAGCTAGGAGTACAGCTTAAGGCAGCATAAACAAACAAACAAATTGATTTCTTCCTTGCCATGGGCATTACTGATGACTTTATTACATAATAGCGTGTTGTGCTCTAAGTCCTGACTCCTTACCCCCAAATTTCTTTAATCGTGGAATGAGTGCATCAGAGAGTAACCATGGAGTCAGCACATATTCCGTGATTCACTTCCGTGTAGCTGGTTGTGTGGTCTGCAGTCCTGCAACTGTTACTAAAGGCTTACTCTGATAACAGAGTTACTAATTGTAATAACTTTGACATCGTATTCACAGCCTCTAAAGTTTTTGGTCCCTGTTGAGCGCACTTAGGCTTGTCTGAAGACTTGATGCTTCCCAAGAACCAGCAGTGACAGCCCCAGACCCACAGATGTCTTGCTTCCAGTTAAAATTCCTACCCCACACCTGGCACTGGAGCAGCCATTGCACTTGCCTGTTATCCAGTAGCTTTCATCTGTAACTCATGTCTTTGTGCAAGGACTTGTGCAGGGCGATCAAAGTGCATGGGATGGAGCACATGCACCGCTCAGCCTGAGGCACGGATTGGGGTAGGAGATCCCTGGGCTGAAGGAATTGTCAGTGTTCACAAAGTAGTCATCTAATTGCAGTATAGGCTTAATCTCTGCAGTCTTAAATAATTTTCGTTCTGGGAACACATGTATGTATGAATGTAGCCTGTATTGCGTGTTTTTCTTTTTTGATTCAAGTTAATAGGAAGAGCGTTGAATTTTGTAGATCGTATCACAAAGGGTTTGCTGTAGAAATGCAGAAGGAAAAATTCAAGCTGACTTTCATGCGTTTAGGTTTGCTACATATGTGTAGCCCTTCCCTTAGTTAAAAGAGAAGCATTGTTGTATTTTGAGCTAAATTTAAGACATACTTGAAATAAATTTAACGTTTTCCGACTTTAGTTTCAGTTCTAAAGAAACAACTTATCAGATACACAGTTACTTGGCCCTCAGTAAAAATATTTGCACTCTAATTCTGGCTTAGGTATCCATGAATTTAACTGCTGAAGTTAAATAATCTTTTATCAATTTAAATTTAAAGTCTTGCAGTAGAAAAATCTGAAAGCCATGCAGATTGTCTTGTTCTGTGAACAATAAAGATGGTGTAGATTGATTTCCTATAAGCCCAGTGATTAGTGACTTGTGAGAGAAGAGCTTTTCTGGCAGTAGGGATATTTAAGAAATTCTCTGCCTTATATGGTTTCACTTGTAAGTCTCCCCTCAGGCAAGTGCCTGTAAGATACTTTTGTTCTATTTGTATGCCTGTTTTTATGTAGGAACTGAGACTACTACCCATAAGAATAATTATCTTATTCTCTCATGCCAGAATTGGGATTCAGGCCTTAAAAGACAGGCTGTACAGCAACATCTGGCTTCTCTTCAGGTTTCCAGTTTTAAAAATCACCTAAATGCTAAAAATGGTCGGATTGGCATGAAGTGAGCAGACATGAAGGGGAACAGGCAGATGAAATGCAAAGATGCTTTCAAATTTGTGTTACAGTCACCTGGGTGTAGTTTGGTGCTGGTGGTGGATGAGAGGGGAGAGAAGGCTGAAGTATGGTCAAAGAGCTGCATTTACAATTTCCAGCAAATCCTAGATGATCTTTTCCATGCAGGTGAGATGTAGTGAATCCTGCAGCTATTGTTTAAGGCCCCCAGTCTGTACTCTTTCCCTCCTCAGAGAGGCCAGTAGAATGGCATGTGTGCTCATACATCTGTTCATTTTGGTCAGGCATCTTAGCCAGAACTGCCCCAAAAGGTTGATCCTTGAAGCTAGGCTGTGAAAGAGGAGCAGAAATCCAGAAGGTCAAGGTTAGGATCTTTTGCAGCTCTGTATTTCTTGAATGTGGGTCATACCCCTTAGATAAAGAGAGCATTTTTACATCTGATTCCTTATAAACCACAGCGTTTGATGACTGGTGTAAATCTAGGGGTTACAGGTGGCAGTGTTAGTTTCTGCAGAAACAGAGGATCAACATGTGGTACAGAATGCAAAAATGCCCTTAGCAGGGTCTCAGGACAGTTAGCAAAGTTTTCCATCCTCTGCTAAGATAGTGATGGTCCAGCACTTCTCCTTGGATGAAGCAGAGTGTGTAAAGCTGTAAAGGAGTCAGCTATAAATATAGTTAATTTTGTCTAGTGTATGAAAGGCAAAAGAGCTTTATTTTCCTTACAGGTTTTATTTGTTTTGCTCAGTAGGTCTTTCCACAAAGTGTTTTCCATATTTAATTCATAGTCTGATGAGTCACCTCTGGTCTTATAGGCTATATTCATTTCAGTAGGAAACTCTTCTATTTCGATTGCTTTGGGAGCTTTGTTGTCTTTGCACATTTAGTCTTTAGAGAAATAACTTACCTCATTGGTTCTTCGGATCACCAGCTGTGTAAGATTACAATCTGTTTAGCTTTCCAAACAGAAATCACTGCATTGTTTAATACCATTGTAGTGAATCTTTTGAAAAGGTTGTCTCCTACCCGATACACTTGCAAAAGAAAGTCTGTTGTTTGTTTTCCAGGAAATGAAATCAGTGATATTTTTCAAAAGTTTAGGCTAGAGTTTAGATTCATTTTTATACCTTTGAAGATCAGCCCTTAAGTGCATAGTTTATGTGCTGTGGTGCTTTTCTTATTTGAACTGACCTATCACTTTCTTTTTCAGAGCCCTCTTGGTAGAGCCCAAGCAGCCAAGAACAAAGGAAACAAGTACTTTAAAGCAGGAAAATATGAGTCAGCTATTCAGTGTTATACTGAGGCTATCAGCCTGTGCCCTCCTGAGAAAAACCTCGATCTTTCTACCTTCTATCAAAATAGAGCTGCTGCCTATGAACAACTGGTAAGACATTTAAGAAAATCGTGTGTTTATTCAAAAATGTAGCATTATCAGTTTTGTATTTTGTCACTTCTGTACGCTGAAAGATCCCAGGTGATGATATCTGCTGCCTGCACAACAAGATGCTGTTGCTTGCCGCTGTTTTTCACTAGCTCATCATACTTTTCTACATATAAATAAAATTATTTTCTGTTAACTACTCTCAGGCTATCTTATATAATTCTTATGCATCCTGTTCTTCTAAGACAAGGTTTTAATTTCTTGTCCTTTGGAACAATTTTCTTTTATATAAGTTGATTTTGTTTCTCTCTACTAGTTTCTTTAACTGTTGGGTGAAAGGCCAAATATTTTGGAAGGATGCTACTTCAAAATTTAAACAAAGAAATCATGGAAATCCTACTAAAGGCCAAGACCTAAATTTCGCACATGGGAAAGTGACATTTACTTGATAGCTGAGTGTACTTGGTATTAGTTTTAGAAGTCAATCAGTGTTGCTTATTACAGTATCATAGATTTGCTTATGAGGTCAAGTTAGTGAGCTTTATAAAGGAATGGAAAAATGGCTTTGTGCAGTCTGAAGTATCAAGTGAGAGACTGATTAGAGAAATCTGGTGTCGGAGGAGAGATAAAACAGTTCTTGTCTAACACAAATTCATGCCATAATGAGTCTCAAATATGTTTGGTCCCTCTATTAGAAAAGGCTGTTTTGAAATAAACTTTTTTGTCTAAAAAGTGCTTTAGCACTTTGTTAAAGTTGTTTTTTTCATTATATTTCCATCTTCTTTCCTTCTAGATGTTTTATACCAGTCTTTCAGTCCCAATGTTACCTCCTGCAAGCGTCTTTGCACGAACCCAGCTGTCTGGTTTAATTTTCCTGTAGGAATTCCTTTTCTGCTCTGTCGCTTTTCTGCTGCAGGTGGCTTGCAGTGGTGCCCAGGTAGTTTCTTATTGAGAAACTTGCAGAAACAGAAGCCAGCAGGTAGAACCAGAGCCCTGGGAACTGCAGCTCCTGTCGGGTGCACATGACCCAGAGCTGGTTATGGAAAGCTGATACAGTGCAGCTGAGTGGGGCCTCTCTCACTGTGGTGTTTTTCTACCCGCAGCAAAAATGGACAGAAGTGGCACAAGATTGCACAAAGGCCGTTGAGCTTAATCCTAAATATGTAAAAGCTCTCTTCAGGCGTGCAAAGGCTCATGAGAAGCTAGACAATAAGAAGGAATGTTTAGAAGGTGAGTGTCTCATGATGTGCGTACTTAAAAGTGGAATTAACTCTGGTGCTTTGGAGATGGTAACTTCTGGAATTGTTTTGGGTTTACTTTTGTAGCTACAGTAATACAGAATTATTAAAACCATTCTTAGCTACTGCAAATACAAATCATTCCTGGTTAGAAGGCAAATTGAATTTTCAGCTGTGCTCATTATCAAAGGACAGAAAATAAGGCAGTGCTTTGACTGGCAAATCTAACTGTTAAATTAGTTTCATTATGTGTAACAGCTAGGAATTAGGTCTGCTAAATTAGAAGGTAAATAAGATGTGGAAATTTTATCCACCTGTCTGTTTATTTGCTGGCAGAATGCCTTTATGCCTTTTAAGACCATAGTAAATAGAAAAGGACAACTTAGTTCATTTAGGTACTCCTTTGCAGTCACTATCAGCTGCACTTCCAGAGTGCTATCACAAAATATAAAACCTTATGGAGTTGTGACGAACTGCCAGCTGATAAAAGCCCCAAGAGAGATTAAGTGTCCCTGTGACAGTAGAACAGCTTTTAAATGTAACTTGTGGTTTATGTCAATAGCATGTTGGTGACAATTATTTCAGCCTTTGTTTGTGTTTGACTTTTAGCTTGCAGTTTTTTCAGACCTGAAATTTTCTTGCTTTTTATGAACTACACAGTTTTTCTGTAATTCTGCTTTTACCTACCAACCACTTCTGGCCAGTAAAATCCCAGGAAATAGGATATGTCCATGTAGTGGAGGAAAGCAAAACCAAACAAACCCCAGAAGACCCTTCCACTGCCAGAAAAAAACTCTCCAGTGGTTCCTGGCAGTATAATTTGGAAAGGTGTTGGTGCTGCACCCAAGCCCAGGCACTAGTTTGCTTTGGGCAAAGCATGTCTGCTGAGGTTGTACAGCTGCTCTTTCTGGGTGTATTCCCGGGGACTCCCATGTGCATCCTGACCATGCCAGAATTGCAGGGAGTTTCTGCAAAAATGATGGCTTTATAGTCCCTAAAGCAGTGTAGAATTACAGAGACTGTACTAAAACTCCAGGGTAAGACGTTTGCTTTTCAAGCTTGTTCAGGCAATATGCTGCTTGAATTTCAAGGCCAAACTCTGTTCATCTTCACTGGTGTTTAAATGAAAATTAAACAGGAAAAATCCATGGTAGTTTTGCATTAACTAGAGGATCCAGAGAAAGAGTGTACCCTAGGAGCACATTTCACACTGCAAAGCATGATTCAGGCAGCAGTGGGTTAACTTTTGCAGAGGTTTCTATGTGTGAATGAAAGCAATGTGATATGGGTTGGCAGTTTAAATAGGCCAGCAGGGTATTTCTCCTTGCTCCATTCCAAAGTCACGGAGGTGAGCAGAAAAATTTGAGATATAATATGGGAAGATTTCTTGAACTGAGGAAGAAGTAAGATGTGATGAGACTGATTGAGAATTTTAAAAGTAGAAAAGTAGCACGAGTCCCAGAAGAGAAGCTGTGTTTGTATTTTTATTTAATGTGAACATATTATGAACATAATACTACCCTCCAAGTTTCAAAATGGGGGAAGCCCCTGATGTAGGGATACATTTTCACTGTCCATCTAAGTGTGTCTGTCTCTAGATAAAAGCAGCAAGAGAAAAATAAATGTAATTTCTTTCACTCACTATCATGAAGTCCTTTTATCCCAGGAAGATAATTTTAAATACAAATTGATGTCTTGGTAAATACAGCAAACTGAACACTGGCTATTGCCCTTGAACAGGATGTGTATTAGTTGCAACAGTGGCACATTTTGTCATTTTCCAGTGACTATCAGAATTTCTTTAATCTCACTTTTGTATGTTGTTTCCTAGATGTCACTGCAGTCTGCATTTTAGAAGCCTTCCAAAACCAGCAAAGTATGTTATTAGCTGATAAAGTTCTTAAACTCCTGGGAAAAGAAAAGGCCAAAGAGAAATACAAGGTAGGACTTGTGATATTGCTGGCAAATTATTATTTCACCTGACTAGTTGTTGAAACGTTGGTTGTTGGCATTCTGGCAATTGTGAACAAGTCACTGTCTTCATCTGCTGAAGTGTAAGAAGCAACAGGAACCGTGTTGCACAAAGCTGCTATTGTACCAACGTTATTTTCCTTTGGGTCCTGTCCAAAGTTTTTGAAACCTCAGTAGGGAAGAGACATCTAACAGTTGTTTCCATTTAGTAATCAAATTTATTCTGACATTCAGGAGACACCCTAAGATGGTGTGCTGCCCTATGTGGTGCTTTTCTGAGCTTGCAACTAAATGGAAACTGGGTGTGTTGGAACAGATTTCTTTGCATGAACATTTGGAAACTGCAGAAAAGAGAACTATGGAAGTATAGGGATAGCCAGGAGTAGTCATTTTAAGTGGCTGTAGGTTTACAGCAGGTATTAACACCTTCTTGCTTGTTATTCAAACATTCTTCCTTGTTTTTTGATGGTAGTTGAAGTAGTGAAATCCATGTTGATTTTGAGATGCTGAATTTCTTTCCTACAGAAACTCACGTAAATGTGTGATGTTGAGGTAGCAAAAATGAATTATGCTGTTAGTAGGGTGGTGACAGCATCACAAAATAGATGTGCTTTGGAAGAGTGCATTCAGTGTTTTCTTGCAGGAGAGACTGAATTGTCATTTTCGTGCGCAGTGTTTATTTTGAGCAAGAAGTATTTTTTGGCTGTAGAAAAGATTCTGCAGCTGAGAGGTGTTGCTTCTGGGACTTTTGGTAAAATGTGTGATATCTGGGCCAAGTTCCACATAGAACTAGGATATTGCCTCATTAGTCTCCATTGTAATGATAGACAGCAGCTTCTCTTGGCCAAGTTGGAGAAAAGAGCAAAGTGCTGTTCAGAATCTACTTGAATTTAGGGTCATGCTTAAACCACCAGCTTGGATTTTTCACTCCATTTATGTGCATACTTACTGCCTTAGTACATCTACCCGATGTCTTATGATATCCTAAGAGTCCTCATTTCTAGCCACATATGCAGAAAGATATTATCTTCCTCCTCCCTGGAATATCTTCACTTTATATCCACTGGTGATGGGTATTGCACTGGGATCTGAAGCTTAAAGAATCCCTAAACGTCAAACTGTCAAACTGAAAATATCAGACTATCAAATGAGATAGTGAAAAGTCATACATTGGTTCTTGCATCAATTTCTTTTTGTAATCACATTTGTTATCCATTTCCATCTATACCATCTGAATTTACCATCTAATTACTTGAAATTACATTTCTCTGTTTCAGAATCGTGAGCCTCTGATGCCCTCACCACAGTTCATTAAATCCTACTTCAGTTCTTTCACAGATGATATAATCTCCCAACCTTTGCTTAAGGGTGAGAAATCAGATGAAGATAAGGATAAAGAGGGAGAAGCTTCCGAAGTAAAAGAGAAGTGAGTGTACAGTACAGTTGGGAATTGTTTGGTATTGGAATTAAGTTTTCAGTGATTTGGACATTTTATTTAGTTTAACGTGCTGTTTTTATAGTACTTGGCATGGGAAATCCTATGATAAATTATATCAGTATTAAAAATGAAATCTGGGTGACAGCTGACTGATTGGTTCTAAACCTCCACCAGACAGAGGGAGGACAATGAGATTGGGAAATTATGCTGAATATTTACTACAGTATGATAGTAAATCTTAGGAGATGGGAGGACTGGAGAGTGCTGAATGACGCTTCTGGAGAGAGGAATATTTTACACTGAAGGAGTGTTTCCAAGGAGGAGAACAAGTTAGCCTTTGGATTGGAAGGGGGAAGACAAGCTAGGAAAAGGGTATTTTTAAATGAAAACTATGAATTTACAGCAACTGAACCTGAAAGGGTGTTTTATCTTCCTGGAATCAAATTGCCCATAAATGAGAAGTTTGTTCTGACACAGAAAAGCTTGAGGGTTGTTTTGTTTGGTTTTTTTTAGTGGGGCTTGAGCACCACATAAATGGTTCTTTAACTTACTGTGCTGCTTTCAACTTTATTTTTGGAAGATAGCACTGCTATGTTACTAATGGAAACCATTGCAAACAGCATTATGATTTTCTTGTAAAGTAAGATAGAATGTCCTGATCTACAGGCAGATTCACTGAATCCAGGACACAGCTGGAAACAATACTGTGCTTACCGTAATATTTGCCGTTAAATCCACTCTTCCACATATAAGCTGCAGATTGCTAGGTTTAATATTTCACTTTTCCTGACCTGGAATTCCACCCCAACCCTCTTGTTTCAAGGCAGAGATTATTGCTGTTCTTCATGTGAAAAAAAAACCAAAATGAAAACCAAGTGACAAATGAAGCTCAAGTTCCAAAGCTTTAAAACATTTTTCTTCTTTATTTCTGATGTAATTTGGCCATTCTTTGCTAAATTGTTTCCCGTCTATGATGGCTCTCTCCAGGAATGGATGTTTCAATGGAACTATGCTGGTGCTGTAACAGTGTAGCAAAAGTTAGTATTTGTAATGATTTAATGAAAAATCTGAATTGAAATTGTAGTGTCCAGTGAAGGTACGTAGATATACGACTGTTCTTACATCATTTACAGCTCTGGCTATTTGAGAGCAAAACAATATATGGAAGAAGAGAACTATGACAAAATCATCAGTGAAAGCACAAAAGAAATTGAAGCAAAAGGAAAATACATGGCAGAAGCTTTGCTCCTGAGAGCTACTTTCTACTTACTTATTGGCAATGCAAGTGCTGCCAAACCAGACCTAGATCAGGTCATCAGCATGGAAGATGCAAATGTGAAGGTAAGAATTTGTCACAGCTGGATGGTAGTTTGGGGCTGAGAAGTTAGATGATAAACCTGCGATATAGTTCAAGAAGTTGTTTTTCCAAGTTTTCAAATATTTTAATGGAAGTCTTCTTGTTTATTTACTGTTTTGTCTTTTTATTCCTGACGAATTGTTTTTTTCAAGGGCTTGTTGGTTTTTGAGGTGCCAAGTAGTACAAACTAAAGAACAGGGGAAGTTTTATGAATTGGAGGGTATATCCACTCTGAAAAATCAGTTCATAGATAAGTCAAAAACATTACTTGCACTTGCATATTCAGCTGCTTCAAAAAACATTGATCTATCTGTAAGCGTAGGAATTAAAAAGGATTTTGGGGGGGTGTGAATCTCCACTGAGATGGAAGCATAAGCTGACATGTTTGAAATTAAGTAAGGGAGTTGATTTATTTAGAAATAAATAAATGTAAATAATAATATGAAACTTATTTCTGCTTAGAATAATTGAAATCTGTCAGTGGGAGAAACTAGTCAAATGAAAAATTTGCTGTAATTGAAATGAAGCCTTAAATGTGGAGGAACACTGGATGTTTCTTTGACCATGTTTTACAGCTCCGAGCTAATGCCCTGATCAAACGAGGCAGTATGTACATGCAGCAGCAGCAGCCTGTGCTGTCCACACAAGACTTTAACATGGCTGCTGATATTGATCCTCAGAATGCAGATGTTTACCACCATCGAGGACAAGTAAGAAATATTTCAGTATATACTAAAAGGAAAAGTGATCGGTACGTCATTGAAGACGCTTTATACTGTTTGTGGCAGAAAAACATGAATTCGTAAAGTGGGAGCTTTTGGGGAATAAACACACAGTCTAATTTGCAGGTTCAGGCCAGGCAGAAGCAGTTTATTTCTGTAGCTATAGGAAAGAATGCAGAGGAACAGAGGTCCAACGCTCCATCAGTATGACCTCTGATTTAAAAGTACATAAGCTGTTCTGTGGAGGGGCCTGAATGGCAGAGCAGCATCTGCACAGGGGGAAACTACAGCGTGTTCCTGAAAACACCTGCAGCAGTGTGGCCTAGACTTGCATCTGTTCAGCTCATCCCTGCTGTGTCCTTGACTGATTTCTAGACCTAGAAAGGCCTGCTTCCACAGACCTGTAATATGAATAGTGCTGGCAGTAAAAAGGAACATTATCATATGCAGGTATGCTAAGTCGTATTTGTAAGGAAGACTTCCATGGATCAAGTGTCTTTCTCCATGAATTCATTGCATCTCCTTAGTGCTCAGAAATAAAAGTGGTGCTTTGTGTTGATTGGAGGGAATAAAAGTTTCCTACAGATTGAAAATTAGTGTTTTACTGTAGTTTCACAGTAAAGTCAGAGAAGGATGAAGTGAGCTCTACTCTTGTGGAGGAATGAGAGTGGCAAAACAAAACAAAAAAATCCCCCAACCAAACAAAAAAAAGTTGAAATGCAAGATGGAACAGCTGAAATGTTTCAGCATTGAAATAGTCCACAGACATTGACTACAGAGAGGCAAAATGACTTGAGAAAATACAGCATAGCTTTGGAGCCTGGACATAATGCTAAAGCAGTAATGGCAACAGTCTAAAATGCAAGCATTCTCAATCCCTACACACAGACATTGCCTTCTTCTGCATGTAGCCAGAGTTTCACTGGCAGCTTTCATGTTTTATAGCAGTGATTTTAGTTACGGGTTTTGTAGGTTTCTAGACAGTTCTGAAACTGCGCTGGAGATGATACGAGTAACTGACACTAATTGAATTATCACCTAAGTGTCTGAAGCACAGATGAAATACAGAAATAGGATTTTCTTTCATTCTGACTAGCTGAAAATCCTGCTTGACCAAATTGAGGAGGCTGTGGAAGACTTTGATGAATGTATCCGGTTGCGACCCAATTCTGCCTTGGCTCAAGCACAGAAATGTTTTGCTCTGGTAGGTAACTTACTGGTCTTTATCTGGGTGTTTTTTCTTTAAAGAGTTCTGGAAAATATACTGTGTTTCTCTGGTTTATTCCAATTTAATAGGAAAGTAGGGCACAAAACATCTCTGTTTTAATATTAAGGTAAGGGAATAATGCAACAGTTTCTTTGGTTGTAGTATGGGTTTGCTGCTTTCCTTCTGAATGTTCATTGTTCAAACAGTAGGACATTTTTTCTGTTTTGTGGGAGAGGAACAAAAAAATCTTCATTCCAATTGGATCACATAAAATTGATATTTATAAAGTTTTACTGTCGTGAAAGACTCTCATCTTCAAGAAACTGGAAACAAACTATCTCAAGTTAGTGCAATGACTCAGTCTGCAAGAATCTTCTCAGGACAGCTTTGCATGGTGTGAACAAGGAGGAATGCTAGGTTTGGAATTTCTAGGCATTTGAAATAGAGAGAGGCTATCACAACTATCAGGCCTTATGACTTCCTGCTTTCACCTGTTTTCCTCTCCAAATCCAGAGGCTTGGACATGTGGTAGGTTCCCAAAATCAGAGTGTACAGCCATGTCACTGTCTGGAATTTATCACAGAATCAGAATGGCCTGGATTGGAAGGGACCTTAAAGATCATCCAGTTCCAACCCCCCTGCCAAGGGCAGGGATACCTTTCACTAGACCAGGTTGCTCAAAGCCCCATCCAGCCTGACCTTGAACACTGCCATGGATGGGTATCCACAGCTTCTCTGGGCAACCTGTTCCAGTGCCTCACCACCCTCACAGCAAAGAATTTTTTTCCTAATATCTAGTCTAAACCTGCCCCCTTTCAGTTTGAAGCCATTCCCCCTTGTCTTGTCATTATGTGCCCTTGTAAAAAGTCCCTCTCCACATTTCTTGTAGGCTCCCTTCAGGTACTGGAAAACCACAATTAGGTCACCCCGAAGCCTTCTCTTTCCAGGCTGAACAATCCCAATTCTCTTCTTTATATATATATATATGTGTATGTGTGTATATATATGTAAACTTTGAATTATTATGATGCAGGTCTGATCACCCTTTTTGTAGTATGATAATGTGTAGTATTTTTCTTTTTTTTTTTCATGAATAGTATCGCCAAGCTTATACAGGAAGTAATGCTTTGACTGTGCAAGCAGCCATGAAAGGCTTTGAAGATGTCATTAAAAAATTTCCAAAGTGTGCTGAAGGCTATGCACTCTATGCTCAGGTATGTTTTTCTCACTCTTGAAGAAAATGCTGCATTCTTTTGCACTTTTTTTCTTGGATAACATACATTTCTTCAAATAATATATGCAGATTTTTGATACTGAGTTCTGAGATAACACATGCTGTCTTGAATAAGCTGCCTGCACTTATGTTTATAGGTGTTCTGGGGTAGAGGAAGTAGAGGGAGAATTAGTGGAGCAGAATATAGAGCAGAATAATGAGAGTGAGGGTGGTTATTAGGAGACAGAGGTCATTCCTGTGTGATTCCCCCCTTCCTGCATGTGTGTGGCATCTCACGTGATGAATGTCAGGGTTTCTCTAGGTAATTTGGGAGTTAAATGTGTGGAACTGGGATAAAAGTTTTGTTTTGCTACAAATGGCATGTACTGGTTTAGAAAGCTGTTTGGAGTGCACTTGTAACGGAGACTGTAATTTTTCTAAGAAAACACACTGCTGGTTTTAGTAGGACATATGAGATGTTCTGATTTTAAGTAGGTAGGTAATACAGATGCCTTTCTTTTTGAAAGAATTATATTTGGAAAGGAAGAACTGAGGTTTCCAGTCTGTTAGAATGGTTTTTAGTTGCAGAACATAGTGTGTTGCTTCTGAACCTCCCATTACAGGTAGTACTGGGGTCAGTAATTCTTGCACTTCAAGACCAGCAATTTTCATATAAAGGAGCCTCAATTTTGAACCTTAACTGATGTGCCTGACCTGCTCTACAATAAAAGAACTATATCCAATTACACATTGTCAATATGGTTTTAATTAGAATTAGCCCAGTGCAGAGTGCATGCTTTGGTTGCTTATTGACATGTAGTTTCTCTTTTGATGCAGGCACTAACTGATCAACAGCAGTTTGGCAAGGCTGATGAAATGTATGATAAATGCATTGACCTTGAGCCAGACAATGCTACTACATATGTTCATAAAGGGTATGTATTGAGTTTGCAATCCTTTTGGCTGAGGGCAGTTGGCATATTCAGATGATTCAACCTGAACTGAATGTTTCAGCTTTGTGTTGAAGTTTTTTCTTTCATAAAACAACATGTAACAGGTCTTCTTGGGAAAAAAATTGCCTTTCTTTAGTGTTGTTAAAGTGGTAGCATGGCTCATTGAAGGTGACATTCATATAGGTGTTTTTAAAAGTCATGAAGTTACTAAGTTACTGCCTATGCTGCATTAGAAATTAAATACACTATACGTTTGGGATGGTTTTGCTTACCATGATCAGGGTTTTCAGAGGAGTATGTGAAGTCTGTTTGAAATTTTCTTTCTCTTCTAGTTTACTTCAGCTCCAGTGGAAGCAAGACTTAGACAAAGGGTTAGAACTCATAAGCAAGGCCATTGAGATTGATAACAAATGTGATTTTGCATATGAAACCATGGGAACGATTGAAGTGCAAAGGTAATGCTGAATTGCAGTGTTAAGAGTTCTTAGTTACTTCTGAAATTACAGTAGTTCTTTAAATTTCCTTATGGATCATAAGTGTTAAGGTCTTCTCCCTGGTGCTGTGCAAGGCTAGCTCTCACCCAAAGTCCTGATTTCTGTTCTGTAACTCTTAGGTAAAGCCTTCCATTCTCTGTAGCATAATTCTGATTTATGATCTGACAATTTCACATGTTCATGACTTTCATACTTACTGGACAACATGCAGATGAGTCTGTGTATGTTTAAATACATCCCTTGTGCATTTAAAGTGACTTCCTTAATCATCACTAGGCTTCACTTGTATCTAATGTTGTCCTTAAACATAATGGGCCATTTGTACTGAAGGTCCTGTGCTGTTCTCTCCTGTAACCAACAGGACTGCAGATTGCAAGTTCTCAGGGTACCAAGGAAACACTAATGCACTGTTCTGTAACACTGTATTGCAATTGGGCAAAAGTTTGGGGTGTAGCTGAGAGTATAGCGGAGTCTTTTTTTAATATGCCCAGTCATCAAAAGGATAGACAATTAAACTATTGCCATGAGAAATTTTGGAAGCTTTTCCTATTTAAATAACATGCTTCTGTCTGTGCAAGTTTTCCTCTTATGTATACAAAGACTTTTGAAGGGAGACAAGAGTTCATTCAGTTGTCCCAGCATTATCTTTATAGTAAATAAACTTGGTGTCCTGGTGAGAACATTTTATCCTGCACTGCCACCCGTGGGGGCTCTCAAGAGGAGGGCTGTTTAACAGCTGTCCTGGTTGCTTAGCCTTGGTAACAGCTTCTCTCAGTTCTTATGGTCGTTCCTCCCGAAGTCCTCTTAAGTTGCTAGCAGGAGAGAGTGCAAGTCCTGAAGGCAAAAAGATGTTGCAGAGATTAAAAAATTGCTTTGGCCGTCTTAATTGGACTAAATTTTCATTTATTTCAGAGGTAATCTGGATAAAGCCATTGAAATGTTCAACAAAGCTATCAACCTGGCCAAATCCGAAATGGAGATGGCCCACCTCTACTCCCTCTGTGATGCTGCCTATGCCCAGACAGAAGTTGCAAAGAAGTATGGATTGAAACCACCGACACTGTAAAGGAACAAGGAGGAAATGGCGTTCCAAAGTGAAGTTGCCCACTTCAGCCAGCCCTAAAGACGCTGTTGCAGACCATGCTGAATGGTGGAACTTAGTTTTTTCCCGTTCGTGGTGTTGTCATTTGCTACATCTGTTAAATGTTTAGGTGTTGTGGGAGTGGTTGTTCAAGGAAGTATGCAGTGCTGCATCTTGTTCCTTCTGCAGCAAAAACCTTAAGGTGTGTTAAGGGAAATAAAGTTGCAGGGGAACAAAAGGAAGATATTTTGGCCATGCAAATAAAAACTTCACACTGGTTCATTTTGGGTGATTATGTTGTGGGCGATTTTTGCTTTTTCAAATAATAATACAGCATGTGGGGTTTTTTCCTGTTGATTTTAAAGGTAATACTAGTCAGTGCTGTAAAATAGATTTCTTTTTTATATCCTATTAATCCTTGAGGGTTGATTTTAATTTTACAAAAAGGCAAAAATTAATTTTCAAACTTTAATAATAGAGGGTTTTTTTAAGTCAGTAGATGTGGAGAGAATCCCTGTAAATATATGCAAGCATGCACAATCTTCCCTTAAATTCCCTTCCACCTTCTGCATAACTTAGAAATAGTCCTGTGGCAGCTATTAGGGAATTAATTTGATAGTCCTTATCTTCACCTCAGAAAGCCCTAGAGAACTGATTAGGAGAGCAAGTAAAAAAGGTTGACTGGGGAAGGAGGTCAGGTAACACTGCTTCAGCATAGACTTCACAGGAAGAAAGGCTGTGTTCCTGTGCAGCAGTCCTTACTTGAATCTCATGGGAAGTTGTTCTGGAGGGTTCAGAGGGACTTCCAAGAACAGAAAGTACTGCTGGGAGTCAAGCTCCCAAAGGTAAGGTCATGCTTGCATATAATCTTTGTAATCTCTGATGCTTTTGCATAAATGTAACAGACCATCTAAATTCTCTTCAGTCTCTAGAGCCTGCTGTGTTACTGCTCCTTTTAAGAGCCCCTTTGCAGAATTAAGTGAGATAAGGAACAAAGCGTAGGCTAAAACTTCAAATAATGGATTTGGAGTCTGCACTGCTTTCCTTGTTCCATAGACTTTGTCTTGTCCGAGATTACAAATACTGTAGAAAGGAAGCAACTGTGCTGCAAACAGGAGAGGGGCAAATTGTGGAATAGTCTTCCTTTAGTTAGGAACTTCACCCTTGCTTTAGGTTGATCTTTCTGGTGAGGAAGTCAGTCAGTCCATCTTGCCTCTCCCTGGGTTGATGTGGCTGGATAAACCTCATGCAAATGATGTAGCTTAACTTATGACACACTAGTTTGGGCTTCTTTCCATCCTGAAATCATAGATTTGTTTGTGGTGAATTGTCTAATGTATTTAATCTTTTAAAGAAATTAATGATGCTGTAGTCAAACTGTCTTGTTCTGTAGTTGTGCCACCATACAGCAGCAGCTTGCATTTTCAACTTGACCTTCCTTTCTCCCAGCAACTACAGTTGAGAATTCAAATGGTGGAGAGTAGACATAAAGATTTAATCATTCTATTTTAGCTAGCTCAGTAGGTGATCTGAAATCATAGCACTGGTGTAGAATTGAAGGTATGGGAAGGTACTGGCAGCTTCTAAGGGCACTGCACATAACAAGTGTCAAATGTCTTCTCGAACTTCCAATCTCTGCATCAATTACCTGAGAACAAAAATATGCCAGACTGAGGAGTCCTGTTCTCCTGAGGAGTTTTTATTCGCATGGCCTTATTTACATTGGCATTTTCTCCTCATCACCCCACCTGTACCCCATTCCTTACCCCACCCAATCAATTAAGGGAAAAAAGCATGTGCTGTCAATTACTAGCATTCCAAATCATCACAGACTTTTGCCTGTTCTTGAACTAGTTTGAAACTGCACTGAAAGGATGCATTGTCTGTAATTTTTTTGTAAATGACATATCACCTGTAAACTGAAAAAATAAATACTACCTTCAAGTATCTCTCTCTGACATGTATAAGAACAGGTTTTGATGGAAGTGTTCTCTGCTGCGGTGAGCTCTGTGCTTATTTGATGTTGCTCCAAATCTAGGACGAACTAGTACTGACTGACTCCTTATCATCTGCTCTCACTTCAACCTTTAAGAATGAGGAGGAGATGTGGAATCAACAAATCTGATCTTCGCTTGCTTCCGTCACCCACAGAGGTATGATCTTGAGAGCTGAAGATTACAGGGGAAAGGAAGTCGAGCCAGGAAAGCTGGGAGTCTGAGTAGCTGACATCCTGTTAATGTGTGTATGCAGGTGGATCCCTTTAGTGAAAGGGACTTTCTTTAAATGGCTGATAGAGCAGAGGTTTTACTTTAAGCCAGGTGTGCACGTGAACTTTGAGAATCGAGAGCTGAAGTGAAACAAGTATTATTGCTATTTAAAAAAAATAAAACTGTTGAAATTATGTAGGAATCTTGTACTGAAGACTTGGATAAACCTGGTGTATCCTAGAGGGATACTCTGGGAAGTTTCTTCTACATACAGTTGTCTTGCAACTTAATTCTGATCATGTATAATCCCTGTTGTTCACAGGGACAACAGTCTCAGGCACATGGTGTGATTCTTGGGGTGTCCTGTGCAGGGCCAGGAGTTGGACTTCATGATCCTGGTGGGTCCCTTCCAACTCAGCATATTCTATGGTTCTAAGCTGTGACTTGAATTACTAGGCTCTAACTGCAGATTGGAAGTGAAGAGGGAACTAACACATGCTGAAGAGCTGCACTGTAACTTACTCTGGAACTGTCAAGAGCAGCTTAGATGCTGCTTTAACCAGCCTAGTGATACTAACACTGCCCAATACAACAGGCATTACAGTGTTTCTGCCATTTCTTTAAAAAGAATTTAAATTATTGCAACTGGAAATTCTGCAACTATTTTGGGGTTGTTTGTGGTTGGTTTTCTATACTTACAGAATACTGGTGCACATGTATAATATGACTACTTAAAAGTGCCTGTTTTCTATCAATACAGAGGTTGAGTATTGGCTTCTTTAAGTATTATATCTGAGATTTGATAGTGTACTTCTTTTCATTGAATCCCTCAAAAACTCACAGTCCCATTTGTATCACTTATGAGTGGAGCACACTTGAGACCCTACTAAATATCCCACTAAACTAAGATGCTTAGAAGTTGTCCTGACAGACTGAAGAGGGCTGAGCTCATGTCAGCTCTTGAACTGAGTTCACCAAAGTAGCTTGTGACAGATTTTCATCTGTCGTCCATTTGGGATTCCAGGGGAGGAGGGTCCAAGGCCCCAGTCTGTTGCAGACTGCACTTTTCATTTTCAAAATTTCAGTGGTCAACTTATGAGAGTCCTGCACTACTTTAATCCTCCAAAGGTAGTATTTAGTTACTGCTGCATGTTAAACTAGTAGAGAGAGGGGAGGGAATGACAGAATAGTTTAGGAAAATGGATGCATAATAGTTATTATGATTTAGAAGTTGGAGCCCAGCAATGGCCATCATGGTTGCAGATTGTTGAGTATGTGGGAGGCACTGATCTAATGCAGGAGACTTGGCTCGAATGGTAAATTGTTAATTTTTTAATATTTATTTTCCAACAAATAAATCTTCATTTCACTTTATGTTCTGTGGCTTGTTTCTTAAGAGTTCCAGTCCAGTATGTACACCAAAATGCAGTGAAAATACAGACCAAAAGACCTGCTGAAATAGTTAATGCCACTGAGTGGAAGGGTGGGACCTGTCTTGAGAGGAAGGATGCATCAGGATTTGACTTCATTCAAGTGTTCATTTTCCTCTATAAAGCACACATCTGGCTCATTGCAGAGAACCAAAAGAATAGTAACAAAAGCAGCTGTGGGAAGAGGAGGATGGCTGAACGTGAATAAAAGGTAAGGTGGTTTGGGGGATAATATAGTTAGCTAGACCAAGACAAAACCTCTCCTTTCCATTTTTGTATTTTGAAATCTTTAGCCTTACTGGTTTTTTATGCTGCTAGAAATCTGAAAGCCTATTAGTATAGGCTGGAGAGTTGCTTCTTTTTTTCATCTCAAGGAGGAAAAAAAGGCATCATTTGCAAATTCTTTTTACATTAAAAGGTGTCTTCCTTCCAAGAAGAAACCCCAGTCAAAACTACAACATGCTTGGCTGGTTGTCAGTATTTTAAAGCCATGTTTCATAATCAGTTTGTTTTGTCTCTTCAGCAAAAGCAGCACAGGAGGGAGTGTGTTCCCTGCAGTGGGTGGCTGCTGGCCCGTGGTAGCAATAATGCATTTAAACACTGAGCAGTTTTCTGGAAGACTGGGGGCAGAAAGGCTTGTCAGTGGAACAAGTTTCCTAACCCCTTTGACTGACTACCCTCAGCCTTTTCCAGTGAGAACAACCAGGCACCAGAATTAAACCCCATTCAGACATTATATTAGGGAAGCACTATATTATATAGAGCCAAGGTATGGCAACATGGGAATTGTTTTAACAACACAGTAACCCGCATCACTTCAACAATAAACAGGAATTGCCATAAGGAAGATTCAATACACATAATCCAGGCAAGTACACATGAACCAAAAACTGTTACAGATTCTTCTATAGCAATAGCTCTGTCTGGCATCTCCTTGCATTGTCCCCAGTAGTGCAGAGCAGAATTTGGCCTGTTTTGCTCAGTGTTAAATGTTAAGATTTCCAAGTTAGAAGTAGGGCATTCCAGGAGCTTTGTTAAGGCCCATACATCTTATAAAGGACTGAGTGGGAAGAATCATGCTTCTAGATTATCTGATAATTCACTGGAAAATTCATAATACTAAAGCTGACTTGAGTTTCAGAGAACAAGGTTTCCATTTCTGTGTTCTACAAAAAAGCCCCCAAAAGGTAACTAAAACATTGTCATGCATAAAAGCAATGTTAATCACTGCTGTGTTGAACTATGAAATACTTAAGTGTGAGAGGAGATATAAAAGTAGGATTTGAATCAACTTTAGAATTGCACCATTAAGTTTTTTTTTGTGTGGTGGTTTTTTAACTGGCACATTCGGCAGTAAATTGTAGAGCAAGTAGTCAAGGAATCCTTCTGAAGATGAAGGGAACAGCCATTGTGGCACTTGAACCTTCCCTCTTCACCCAGCTTCACTTTTTCATCTCTACACCATAGAGGTCACAACGCTTCTGGCTTAAAATAGGAATTTGTTGACGTATTTCTGCAAGTTTCTTCAGATCTACAGGGGGAGAAGAAAGAGTTATGAGAACAGCAGACAAAAAAGAAAGCTCCTGACTTGCTCTGAGGTAAGGCAGGGAAAAGAGAACTATCAAGGAGAATGGACCTGTAGGGCACTGCAAGTGGGCAGCCAGGGCTGAAGAGCCTCAGCTTTGCTCTTTCCTTAGGTGGCAGCTTCCTCCTAAGTAAGGAAAGGACAGGAGTAGAACTAAGTGCTGCTTGTTCTTGCTTTAACCCAGCAAAGGGGGAAAAGGCATTGGAATGCTGTAGTTGCATGTGCAAGGCCACAGACTTAAAAAACTGTCTCTCCTTAGTCTCATGGCCTGTACTTGAGAAAAACCAATGGGGAAAAAAACCAAAGCAACTTTACCCTTACCTATATCTGTGTATACAACTGTTTCCTCAGCCCCAGCTTTGGCTATGACTTCACCCCTGCAAAATTAAGCACATTTGTTCACAGCATTAACACATTGGTCTCAAGGAATCAGTCCAGTTGCTGCTGTTTGTACAAAAGGGAGTTCCTACCCTTGATGCCTACAGCTGTAAACACAGGGCTCTCCTAAAAATAGCATCATAATTCATAACTCTGGCATGATGGAAATGGCTTTCAGGCTTTATATGTGGCACATTTTATATGTGACATATGTATCCTTCACGTGTGTTCCAAAGATCAAGAACCAGGGCATGTGAGCATGCAACATACCTCAAGGGTAAAGGGACAACCATATATGGCAAAGACTTAACACTTTCTCCTTTCAAGATCCTACTGGCTTTTAATAGGAGTATGCTTTTACTCAGCATGAACTACTGAACGTGATTTAGCATGTCTCCCGCTGAAGTGTTCTGTCACGGCTTTCATCATATAAAGTTAAAAGCTCAGAACACAGACAAAGATTTGCTGACTTTACAATCAGCTGGAAGAGAACTATCGGTGGATTTATTTGAAAGAAAAATAGCTGCCTGAAGATTTGGTCACTTTTACCTCCTGTGCACCTGCATGACTTCTGCTTAAGTCAGAATATCTCTCTTCTCTAGCCGAAGACATTCTTCTTGTTCTTTATTATGTCAAAGCAATGTTGTTCTTTGAGGAAATGAAATAGTTTTGTGTAAGCTGTTTAACATGGTTTGGTTCTACACAGAAAATTACTGTATGAGTAATATATAATGGACTGAACTTCAGGGACAAGTTGAAAAGGTCACCAGTAAAGCTAATGCTAAATGCTAGTACTAAGTAGCATCTTTACTACCAAAACAAATACATTTAAACTAGTTTTAGTTTCTTGTTTTTCAGTTTGACAGTTTTAAATGATGGTTTTGAGAATGCAGGCTTAAGTCTCATGTGCTTTTTACCAAGAATTTACATTTTTAAGAGTAGGTGGAAATGTGGGACTGAAGCGTCCAGTAAAACACATTTTTTAACAAAAAAAAAGGTGTTGTTTTGTTGTTTTTAATTGAACTCACCATGGATTTACTACAGTGCTGTGTCCCCAGGCAACATAGGATGCTTTTTCATCTCTAGCAGGAGATATGGTAGCTACGTAGACTTGGTTATCAACAGCACTGTGTTCAGAGAAAGATGAGGGAAGGGGGAGAAAGTGAGAATTGCTTTTTATTCTACCATTTAACTAAGAAGAAGAGAAAGAATTCACTCCGAATGACAAGCTTTATATCCTCCTAAGGACTAGCCAAAACTGTAAATGATATGAAGGTCAGAGAAAGCAGAGCCTGGAAAGAGAAGTCTCTGGCACCTGGCTCCAGTGTTAGTGCACAGAATATCATGTTGTTCCCATTTTCATTCTGTATGCAAGAAAGTTGATTGAAGCTGACCAATAAATATACTGCATTCAGGAATCTCAGAGTCTATTTCTATCTGTAATTAGAGCAGTTCTCAAACGGTTATTGGCTCTTCTCTCTAGAATTTGTGGGTGAAGGGTGTTTATAGAACCATGGGAAAAGGTCCTTGAAAGGGCATAACTGCTAGGGGCTGGCAGGAGTAAAGACTAAGTAGTTCCTGCTTTTCTGCTTGACAGCAAAATCATTTTGGTGTCCCATGCAAGGCCACGCATCATGAGGAATGGTGCAGCTCCAATGGCAGACAGGCCCTGTAGCACCACTTCTGCTGCATAGTGTCATGTGGAACACAAGAACAGTTCAGTTCCATGCAGTAAAGCTCCCTCTGGAACAGGAGGATAAGCTGTTACTGTGATCTTACCGTCCCCTCTGTAAGAGTTCCC